CTGCAGCTTGGAGGAGGTAAAGGGGTGCAGCTTGGAGGGGGTAAAGGGGTGCAGAGATGCTTTCATGTTCCTTCTGCATCCTAGGGCCCTGTGCCAGAGCAAGTATCACACAGTCTCCCCATGCGCCAACGCTGCATTTTCAACTTCATGGCCCCCACGACTGAGGGGGACCAGACTGTCCCTGCTTCCCTGGTAGGTGCTGGCCCCTGCACTGACCATAGTTCCCGCTAAGCTAACCCCCACTGTGCCCTGCTGCAGGGAACAGTGCTCATAACACTGGGATCACTGGAGTTTGTGTCTGAGGCCTTTCTCCATGGCTGGGATTCAACTGTGTAATGCCAGGGATGGACAGACTGGACTGAGTGAGACCTTTGTCCCCAGGTTTTTGGCACCCAGGCTGTCTCTTCACCTTTGATGGTGGTGCCATAGGGCAGGTTGCTCCTGGACTCCACAGAGCTCTCAAGGTCTCCCCGGGAGGAGCTGGAGCTGAGGCTGGGGCTCGGGCAGGGCTTGCTGACCTCCTTCCCCAGGGAAGCTGGGTCCCCCTCCATGACAGTGCAGGGAGCCGCCTCCTCTGGCCTGGTTTCAGGGCACAACTCCTGGTGGCTGGGTGCCCTGGGAGGGGAGCTACATGGTAGTCCTGCCTGGTGGTCTTCCTGCGATGGGTCTTGCCTGCCCAGCCGGAGCTGGGGCCACCTCCTTGGTTTCACAGAGGGCTCCTCTCCCTCCTCGGTCTTTGTTCTGGGAGCTGTGGGTTTCCTGCTCCAGCAGAGCAGGCATGTCCAGCACCTGGCCTTGAATTTCACCTCCTCTGCACCACCGGGCCTCCCCTCCTCCTTTGGCCCAGGCCTCCTGCTGCTGTCCTCCGCCCCTGGAGACATCCCCTGGGAACACTTTCATTGTCCTGTTCTTCAACATCCGCCTCAGCCTGTCCATCCTGGTAGGGAGCAGGAGCAGTCATGAGCCAGGGAGCAAAGCCTCTTCTTCTTAACCTGTCTGCCTCCCTCTCTGGTTCAGACGTACTTGGGGTACGTCGCAAGCAGAGGGATACGTGTATCCCAAGGCCCCATGAGACTGGGAAGTTGTGGAAATGTCATCAAGTAAGGTCATGGGGAACTGGTGCTGCCTTAGTTGGGGGGACACATGACCCCCCTGCGACCAGTCTCGCAGCACAGGGAGTGGGGGTCCCCCCTGCAGCCAATATCACTGCCCAGAGGGAGTTCACCCATAGCCAATCGCTGCAGCCATTTCTGGGAGCAGCTGCAGTGATCGGTCACCGCTTGCAGGGGGAGCACCGTCACTCCCGCCTCCCCCCTGCCCATCGTTTAAGCAGCGAGCGCGTCTGACCAGGGTCTGCACCGGCGCAAACAGGCCCCCTACTTATTGCCATTGAGTCAGGACAGGTGTCCCTGGGACACAGCGTGCAGGAGCAGGACAGCGCTGGGTCCCGTGTGTCAGCGAAGACTCACGTGGACATTCGAGTGTGGCAAGACGCCTCCTCCCTGTGATCCTTGTGCCCCGCGGGAGGGCAGCAGAGGGGCAGTGTCCCCCACGTCCCGCTCACCTGTCCCTGCCCAGACGCGGGGCGGCCATCTCCCAGGCTGCAGAAATGGAAATGGGGAAGGAGGATGCATGATGAACTCTGCAGGTCCAGAGTAGTTTGTACAGGGCCAGAGAACAAAGATGGTTGGATAGAGAGTGGATGGAGGGTGGATGGAGCATAGTGACGTGGGCAAAGAGATGTGTGTGGGCTAGGGAGGTAGAATACAGATGGGTGGGAGCAGGGCAGAGAGACCACATCCCACACTCCCAAGCTGAGGAGTCTTGTCCCCTGAAAGCCAAAGAGCTGTGGAGTTCTGGGGGCAATGCATGGTGATGTCACAACCCAAAGGGTGTGATTTTTGTTTTTGTGTGCTTCGGCACTGCTAAATTGTTCCCGCTAAATTGCAGCTTCCTTGCACGGTGGAGTTTTCTGCTGCAAAAGAGAACCCCGGTGCAAGGGAGAATTTCCCGCCAATTTGAAGCTTTCTTTGCAGGGTGCATTTCTTTGTTGCAGCACAGAAGTGCTCGTTGCAAAGAGTTCCCGCCATTTGTATGCTAATTCGAGTCCCATTATTGGCCAGTTCTAAATTATTCACACGTGG